CATTAACAAACATAAAGTAACCAATTGATAATAATATAATAATAGTAGGGGACTTTAACACCTTACTTACATCAATGGACAGATCATCTAAACAGAAAATCAACAAGGCAACAGTGGCTTTGAATGACACACTGGAACAGATGGATTTAACAGATATATTCAGAACATTCCATTCTAAAACAGCAGAATACACATTCTTTTCAAGTGCACACAGAACATTCTCCAGAACAGATCACATATTAGCCCCCAAAACAAACCTCAGCAAATTCAAGAAGATCAAAATCTTCGCGTGGGTGGCTCAGTCAATTAAGTGTCTACCTTCGGCTTAGGTCATGATCTCAGGGTCCTGAGATTGAGCCCTGCGGGGTGGGCTCCCTCTCTTCTAGCCCTCCCCACCCCTGCTTGTGCTCACTTTCTCTCTCTCTCCTCTCTCAAATAAATATTAAAAAAAAAAAAAGATCGAAATCATACCATGCATATCTTCTGACCACAATGCTATGAAACTAGAAGTCAACCACAAGAAAAAATCTGGAAGGACCACACATACATGGAGGTTAAATAACATGCTATTAAACAATGAATGGGTCAACCAGGAAATCAAACAAGAAATAAAAAAGTACATGGAAACAAATGAAAATGAAAATACGATGGTCCAGAATCTCTGGGATACAGCAAAAGTGGTTCTAAGTGGGAAGTTTATAGCCAAACAGGTCTACCTCAAGAAGCAAGAAAAATCTCAAATAAACAACCTAACCTTACACCTAAAGGAGCTAGGAAAAAAACAACAAACAAAGCCTAAAAGCAGAAGGAAGGAAATAATAAAGCCTAGAGCAGAAATAAATGACATAGACACTAAAAAAATAAAGCAGATCAATAAAACCAGGAGCTGATTCTTTGAAAAAAAATCAATAAAATGACAAGCCTCTGGCCAGACTTATCAGGTAAAAAAGAAAAAGAACTCAAATAAATAAAAAATGATAGAGAAGAAATAACAACACTACAGAAATACAATCATAAGAGAATATTATGAAAACCTATATGCCAACAAATTGGACAACCTAGAAGAAATGGATACATTCCTAGAACATATAAACTCCTAAAACTGAAACAGGAAGAAATAGAAAATCTGAACAGACCAATAAAGAGCAAAGAAACTGAATGCTAAAAACAGTCCCAAAAATCAGAAGTCCAGGACCAGAGGGTTTCACAGGTGAATTCTACCAAACATTTAAAGAGTTAATACTTATTCTTCTCAAACAATAGAAAAGGAAGGAAAACTTCCAAATTCATTCCTTAAGGCCAGCAGTACCCTGATACCAAAACCAGATAAAGACATCACTAAAAAACAGACATACAGGCCAATATCCCTGATGAACATAGACGCAAAAATCCTCAACAAAATACTAGCAAATCCAACAATACATTAAAAAAATCCCACGATCAAGTGGGATTTATTCCTGGGCTAAAAGGGTGGTTTAATATTCTCAAATCAATCAATGTGATACAATACATTAACAAAAGAAAGAACAAGAATCATATGATCCTCTCAATAGATGCAGATAAAGCTTCTGACATAGTACAACAACATCCATTCATGATAAAAATCCTCAACAAAGTAGGTTTAGAGAGTATATACCTCCACATAATAAAGGCTATATATGAAAAACTCACGGCTAACATGATTCTTAATGGGGAAAAAACAGAGCTTTCCCCTAAGGTCAGCAACAAGACAAGGATGTCCACTCTCACCACTTTTATTCAACACAGTACTGGAAGTCCTAGCCTCAGCGATCAGATAGCGAAAGGAAACAAAAGGCATCCAAATCGGTAAGGAAAAAGTCAAACTTGCACTATTTGCAGGTAACAGGATACTTCAAATAAAAAACCTAAAAGACTCCCCAAAAAACTTCTAGAACTGATAAATGAAATCAGTAATGTCACAGAATACAAAATCAATGTAGAGAATTCTGCTGCATTTCTAAACACCAATAATGAAGCAGTAGAAAGAGAAATTAAGAAAACAATCCTGTTTCCAATTGCACCAAAAATAGTAAGATACCTAGGAATAAACCTAGCCTTAAAAACCAGTACACTGAAAACTATAACACTGATGAAAGAAGGGTGCCTGGGTGGCTTGGTCGGTTGAGCATCTGTCTCTTGATTTCAGCCCCAGGCATGATCTCAGGGTCTTGGTATTAAGCCCCGAGTAGGACTCTGTGCCCAGCAGGGAGTTGGCTTGAGGATTCTCCCTCTCCCGCTGCCGCTCCCCCTGCTCACAGGCTCTCACTCTCTCTCTCTCTTTAAAAAAAAAAAAACAAAAACAAAAACACTGATGAAAGAAATTGAAGACAACCAAAAAAATGGAAAAACATTCCATGCTCATGGATTGGAGGAACAAATATTGTTAAAAATATCCATACTACCCAAAGCAATCTACACATTTAATGCAATCCTGATCAAAATACCAACAGCATTTTTCACAGAACTGGAACAAACAATTTGTACAGTACCACAAAAGACCCCAAATGACCAAAGCAGTTTTGAAAAAGAAAAGCAAAGCTGGAGGCATCACAATTCTGGACTTTAAGCTGTAGTAATCAAAAACAGTATGGTACTGGCACATAAAAAGACACAGAGATCAATAGAACAGGATAGAAAACCCAGAAATAAACCCACAACTATAAGGTCAATCTTTGACAAAACAGGATATAACATCCAATGCGAAAAAGATAGTCTCTTCAACAAATGGTGTTGGGAAAACTGGACAGCGACATGCAAAAGAAAAAAACTGGACCACTTTCTTACACCATACACAAAAATAAATTCAAAATGGACTAAGGACCTAAATGTGAGACCTGAAGCTATAAAAATCCTAGAAAAGAACAGAGGCAGTAACTTCTTTGACATCAGCCAAATCAACTTTCTTCTAGATATGTCTCCTGAGGCAAGGGAAATAAAAGCAAAAATAAACTTTTGGGACTACATAAAAATAAAAAACTTCTGCACAGCAAAGGAAACAACAAAACTAAAAGCCAACCTACAGAATGGGAGAAAGTATTTGCAAATGACATATCTAATAAAGGATTAGTATCCCAAATATAGAAAGCATTTATCAAACTCAACACCCCAAAATCAAATAATACAATTATAAAATGGGCAGAAGACATTTCTCCAAAGAAAACATACAGGTGGCCAACAGACACGTGAAAAGATGCTCATCATCACTTATCATCAGGGAAATGCAAATCAAAACTACAATGAGATATCCTCACACCTGTCAGAATGGCTAAAATCAGCAACACAGAAACAACAGGTGGTATTGTTTGGTGAGGATATGGAGAAAAAGGAACCCCCTTGCACTGTTGGTGGGAATGTAAACCAGTGCAGCCACTGTGGAAAACAGTACGGAGGTTCCTCAAAAAGATAAAAATAGAACTAGCCTACAATCCAGCAATCGCACTATTGGGTATCTACACAAAGAATACAAAAACAGTGATTCAAAGGGATACATGCACCCCCTCATTTATATAACAGCATTATTTACAATAGCCAAGATACGGAAGCAGCCCAAGTTTCCATCTATAGATGAATGGATAAACAAGATGTGGCATATATATGTATTTATACAATGGAATATTACTCAGCCATAGAAAAGAATGAAATCTTCCCATTTCCAAGGACATGGATGGGGTTAGAGTGTATTATGCTAAGTGAAGTAAGTCAGAGAAAGACAAATACCATACGATTTCATTCATATGTGGAATTTAAGAAACAAAACAAATGATCAAAGGGGGAAGAAAAGATAGAGACAAATCAAGAAACAGACCCTTAATTATAGAGAAAAAACTGATGGTTACCAGAGGGGAAGGGGGGAGGGGTGGGTTAAATAGGTGATGGGGATTAAGGAGTGCACTTGTGATGAGCACAGGGTAATGTATGAAAGTGTTAAATTACTATATTGTACACTTGAAACTAACATAACACTGTATGTTAACTAATTGGAATTAAACTAAAAGCTTAGGGGCACCTGGGTGGCTCAGTCAGTTAAGTGTCCAACTCTTGATCCCGGCTCAAGTCATGAACTCAGGGTTGTGAGATCAAGCCCCACATACTTAAGATTCTCTCTCCCTCTGCCTACCCACTCCAAAAAAAAAAAAAAAAAGAGCAAACGCCTGACCATCTAAGAAGCCTACATGTGCTGATCCTTGCCAACCTCTCTCTCGCTCTCCTGTGCACCAGCCACAGGGACCTGCTTTATGCTCTTGGAAAATTTAATCTTTCCCATTTCAAAGCCTTCACACAGGTTGAAAGCCCCTTCTTCCCAGATCCCAACTATCTGGTTAACAAGTTCTCCTAACTTCTTTGGGAAAAACGTTTCTTAACCTCCAGACTAGGTCAAGCCTCTGACAATGCTCCATTTGCCTCTCTCTCTCACAGTGCTAAATCTGCTTGGTAATTATACTCATAAAGATCTACACTATATCTTAGACAGTAATGTAACATTAAGAGGTAAGGAACTGTTTTTTGATTACCACTGAATCCCCAGGAATCAACACCAAGCACAATGCCTGGTTCCATTTTAGGAGCTTACAACTTGTACTGAATAAATACAATTTCAGAGGAGGGTTGGGGAAGCAGTAGCTATTAATCTGGTTAGTACTTCTCTGTAACACTTAACCACATTCTGCCCAGCATGCTTATTAATATTTAATTTTTCCTTCCTTGCTGGATTTTTAGCTCTGTTGTATACAACTTTGAATGTTCCACTGCCTCCAAATGATAGTGGAGCTCAGAGGAGATGCTCCAGGCTGGGGAAATGGTACGGAATTGCAGGGAAGTTAAGTGGCCTGAATAGAAAGAGAGAGAAGGGTGAACTCTACCCAGAAGGCAGCTGTGGCCTGAGGTAAGGACATGTTTCCTGCCCTAATTTTTCCTTCTTAGGGCCATTGGAGTTGACCTCTCTTTGTGGGGATGTGAGGATTCAAAAGGGCAACACTTACTTGTTCCCATGAAGAAATCATATGACGTTCAGCAGGTGGTTTCTCTATGATAGTCACCTCTGTCACACCTGGGGAAGACTCTGGAAGAGGAAAAGAGAGTCTGTAGAGTTGCAATGGGCCTGCTCTCACATATTTCAATACTAGAGGCTGACTGTTGATAAGTACCTAGGAATATCAGATTCCTCTGAGCAGCATTTATTACCCGTACTGTGATAAAAACAGGAAGAACTGGTCAGTCCTTCAAAGGCACTCAGTCCCACAACCTAGGACCATGCAATCAACCTGGTAGAAAGGACATCATCAGAACACCCACTACACACAGTCACTGCTCAGTACTTCAGTTGTTGAACAAAAATCAGAGATTCTACATTCCTAGTGATTTCATACCTCAACTTCTCACTTATGACATGGTCAAAAGGAATAAAGAATAGCACCTCAATAAACTTTTACAAGATACAAAACTTGTTTGCTAGTTTTTCTTCTAAATAAAACCCATCTGTACTCTATGAGATCCCAGATTGAGTAGTTTAGGCTAACACTATGAAAAATGGATTCCATCCAGAAATATACTGAAAACAAAATAAATCATATCTCTAAATCTTGAAAGCAGGAAAAGGTCTCCAAATAATCTCTTCGTGGAGCTATGTTCTAGCATTCATTCTGAAGTAAAAAAGAAGCCACCTGACTTGGAATTCAACAGACTTTAATACCTCCTCCTACATTCTCTACTTGTCTGTTTACCCACACTCAGGACCTTGAAATCCTTAATATAAGACACAAAATCTGCTATGGGTTGAATTGTGTCCCTCACAAAAAATATATGTTGAAGTCCTTACTGCCAGTTCCTCAGAATAGGACTTGATTTGGAAATAAGGTCACTGAATATGTAATTAGCTAAGATGAGGTCACAGTGGAGTAGGGCGGACCCCAAATCCAATATGACTGGTATACTTATAAAAAGAATGCTTTGTGAAGAGACAGAAGGAAGAGGGTCACATGAAGATGGAGAAATGGAGTGGTATATCTGAAATACTAGGAATGTTAAAGATTGCTGGCAAACCACCAGAAGTTAGAAAAGAGGCAAGGCAGGTTCTTCCCTTCCAGATTTCAGAATGAGAGTGACACTGCCAAGCCTTTGGTTTCAGGCCTTCAGCCTCTAGGACTGTGAGAATAAATCTGTTGTTCTAAGCCACCTGGTTTGTGGTACATTCTATGGCAGCCCTAGCGAACTAACACAAAGCCTATCCACTTTTCTCTTTGTGATATTGCATAGATTATTCCCATTGTCACCACTGTTTTAGGCCATGGTCACTGCAAGTGTAGATGCAATCAAAGCCACAAACTCTGTGCTCTGATCCATCCTCAGCATACCAGCAGAGGACTTTCTTCATACCTAGGCTTGTTTCCTATCTGATCTATTGGGTTCTCCTTGTAGTCTGGAGGATAAGGCCCTTCTCTGTCTGGTCTTAACTTCTTCCACCCTATAGTCCAAACCCTGTTCCAGGTGTGTCAGTTTTCTCATTGTCTCCACTCCTGTGCCCCCCAGCCCCAAAGCTAAATCTGTACTTATCTTTAATTATGCTGTATCCCTTTCCCATTATACACACCCAAATGTGTCCACCTACCCAAGTCCTACCCACACTTCAAGGCTAAGCTAAAGCTCCACGTCCTCCATGAAACCATTTCAGATGACTCTAGTTCACCATGATCTCTGCTTTTGCCAATATCCAAACCCATCACATGCAGTGTTGGGCCCACATAGGTTTATACTTTTTTTTTTTTTTTAAGATTTTATTTATTTGAGAGAGAGAGAGTGTGTGCAAGTGCACAAGCAGGGGGAGGGGCAGAGGGAGAAGCAGACTCCCCGCTGAGCAGGGAGCCTGATGTGGGGCTCGATCCCAGGACTGTGGGAGCATGACCTGAGCCTAAGGCAGACGCTTAACCCAACTGAGCCACCCAGGTGCCTCTCCCCACTCCTTTTTTAAAAAAGATTTTATTTATTTGAGAGGGAGGGAGGGAGAGAGGGGGAGAGAGAGAGAGAGAGAGCATGCACATTTGCTTATACTTAATTATATTCTATTTTGAACCATATTTTGGTTATTTACTATAAGTAAATACTGTAAACAGGGAATGTATTGAAAAGAATTTTTAAAATCTCTAAGGCTAAGGCAGAGACTTCTAATCTAGTTTAATGTATAAAATGGTTCCTGGACCCAACCCCTCCAACATTTTTGTGGGGAGGTTTCCTCATACCAACAAGCAATTCTTGGATATCCCGGTGTTCTACAAGGAGACAGCATCAGATACCATAGGTTATGGGCTCAGTCTGTAAGACTGCCACCCTCCCCACTTCAGACACCAGATACGAGTTCAGGTTTTCACCTGTGCTTCCTGACTGACCTGCTACAGATTGGGGGTTCTCAAGACCCCCTCTCCTTGTACTTCAGACAGCAGTCAAAGCCCAGCTGTCACCTGTACTTCTGACTGACTGGTTATAAATCAGAGGTTCCTAAGACCCCCTCCTCAGGTTCCATTAATTTGCCAGGGTGGCTCACAGAATTCAGAGAAACATTTTACTTACTAGATTACTGGCTTATTATAAAAGAATATAACCTAGGAACAGCCAGATGGCAGAGATACTTAGGACAAGGTATATGGGAAGGGGTGTGGAGTTTCCATGCTCTCTCCAGGAAGGCTATTCTCCCCACATCTCCATGTGTTCACCAACCTGGAAGTTTCTGGGTTTTTATGGAGGCTTCATTACATAGGCACGGTTGATTAAATCATTAGTCGTTGAGGACTGATTCACCCTTCTGACCCTCTTCCTTTCCTAAAGGTCAGGGAATGGGACTAAAAGTACCAACCCTCTAATCATATGATTGGATCCACTGGCAACCAGTCCTCATCCTTAAGTGCTTTCCAAAAGTCACCTCATTAACATAATGAAAGATCTTTACCACTCTCAACACTTGGGAAATTCCAAGGGTTTTGGGAGCTGTAAGCCAGGAACTGTGGACTAAGAAAAAATACACAGTTGACCCTTGAACAACATGGGTTTGAAATGCATGGGTACACTGGAACACCTATTTTTTTCAATAAATACAATACTGTAAATGTATTTTTTCCTTATGATTTTAATAACGTTTTTCTCTATTTTATTATGAGAATACAGGATACATACAACATACAAAATAACGTGTTAATCAACTGTTATCGGTAAGGTTTCTGGTCGGCTGTAGGCTATTAGTTAAATTTCGGGGCAGTTAAAAGTTATATACAGATTCTCTACTGTACTGTTTTGGGGGGGGCTATCAACAGCCCTAATCCTGCTTTGTTCAAGGATCAGCTGTCATCTGAGTGAGCAAATATATATTTCTTATAAATCAGAATATCACAATGTGGTTCACTGATTCTGTAATCATGTTAGTGTCCTTTTTATGCATCATAAAGTTTCCTCCAGGTTATCACAAAGTTCAGATCCTGAGATGCAGCAACAACCCAATATAGGAGGCTAAGAATTCTGGACTCCACATATTCTACTCTTGCTTGAAGCATTCACTAGTTGTGTGACCTTATATGAGTCTTCACGTTCCTTAGCATTCAGAGAGACGACAATATTTATAATAATATTTGCCTTGATAAGGGAAGCAGAAGAAGCAAAGGTAAAGGTGCTCTGGAAAAGCAAAAAGTACCATATACACAATTTTTTTCTCTGCCTTCTTTTTAATGTCCTTTCTAAGACATTGGGAACCATGGTACTACGGTGGAAAAACACCATGAGCTTCAAGCCCTTAGACCTGGGCTAAGTCCTTGCTATGCCCTTGACTAGTTAGGATGGAAGACCCTGTCTGTCCCTTCAAGGGTGGTCCCATTTGGCAATGTACCACCAAAGCTAAGACAGTGAATAATAAATGTTATTATTTACATTTTATAGCAAGGACATTGAGGCTAAGAGGCTAGGACACTCCAAGTAGCTAGGCTTACTCCAAGTATGGGTCTAGTTAAGAGTTTATGTGCAAGTCTTCGTGTCCCCCTCAGCAAAGCCCTTTAGCAATTATCCTATGCAAATACAGAGCTTAGCTTCAATCAGTCTTAGCATCCTATTATTCCAACTTTTGTAGGACAGAACAACACAGAATTCTTTGTTAACAATCCAGCTGGTTGCATAATGATGACATCTGACTATACCCACAGGGCAGTCTAGTGTCTAGCTTTGCTGGAGGCCACACACCTAATATAAGTACCTGACATGAACCTTTTGATTGCCAACCCTTCCATTTCAAATACATCCATCTTAAATAAACAAATTGCCAGCTGTTTCTGACACAGCTACTAGCTAAACAACTAGGAACCAGGGCACCCCACCTGTGAAGTTCCCCTTTTTAAAAGCCCTGGGTAACCAGGGGAACTGATGGCTTGACTGACCCTGCTTTTCCCCTCCCATACCTGAATTTCCACATTTAAGTTTTAAAGATTTTATTTATTTATTTGTGAGAGAGAGAGAGCACAAGCAGGGGGAGTGGCAGGCAGAGGGAGAAGCAGGCTCCCCGCTGAGCAAGGAGCTCGATGTGGGACTTGATCCCAGGACACTGGGATCAGGACCTGAGCCGAAGGCAGACGTCTTATAAAACTCAACACCCAAAAAACCAGATAATCCAATTATAAAATGGGCAGAAGACATGAAGAGGCATTTCTCCAAAGAAGACATACAGATAGCTAATAGACACATGAAAAGATGCTCATCATCACTTATCATCAGGGAAATGCAAATCAAAATTACAATGAGATATCACCTCACTCCCGTCACAATGGCTAAAATCAAAAACACAAACAACAAGTGTTGATGAGGATGTGAAGAAAAAGGAACCCTCTTGCACTGCTGGTGGGAATGTAAACTGGTGCAGACACTGTGGAAAACAGTGTGGAGGTTTCTCAAAAAATTAAAAATAGAACTACCCTATGATCCAGTAATCACACTACTGGGTATTTACCCAAAGAATACAAAAACACTAATTCAAACGGACACATGCACTCCTATGTTTACTGCAGCATTATTTACAACAGCTAAACTATGGAAGCAGCCCAAGCATCCACTGACTGATGAATGGATAAAGATGTGGTATACATATATAATGGAATATTATTCAACCATTAAAAATGAAATCTGGCCATTTTCAACAACATGGACAGAGCTAGAGAGTACCATGCTAAGTGAAATCAGTCAGAGAAAGACAAATACCATATGATCTCACTCATATGTAGAATTTAGAAACAAATGAGTGAAGGAAAGAAATAAAGACAAACCAAGAAACAGACTCTTAACTATAGAGAAATGATGGTTACCAGAGGGGAGGTGGGTGGGGTAATGGGTGAAATAGAGGATGAGGATTAAAGAATACACTTATCATGATGAAAAAATTAAAATGATTTAAAACAAGAATTGCAAAAAAAAAAAAGAAGAAGAAGACTAAGATGGAGAGAGAGATATTACACAGTTGAACTTTGACTAATGCAGGGGTTAGGGGTTATGAACCAACCCTGATGAAGTTGAAAATCCATGTATAACTTTTGACTCTCCAAAAACTTTACCAATAGCCTACTATGGGAAACCTTACTGATAATAAAACAGTTGATTAACACATATTTTGTATGTTATATGTATTATATACTGTATTATTACAATAAACTAGAAAAAAGAAAATGTTAAGAAAATCATAAGAGAAAATACATTTATACTACTGTACTGTAAAAAATCCATGTATAAATGAACCTACAGTTCAAACCTGTGTTGTTCAAAGGTCAACTGAAATTGATCTTGTTGTATCTCAGGTAGATCTTACACACTATATTTAATAATCTGTTATCAAAATGTAACATTTCCCCACTCCTTGCTCCACTGGGTAGGACACACTTTATCATCATAAAAAAATTTTCCTCAGTTGATTGTTTAGCATTTCATTTCCTGATTTTAGCATTAGTTCTCTATTTGCTCTTGTTCATTTTGTGAAATTGTGCTGTTTAACAAGATGTCTACTTTAATGAAAGACTTTCCAGTCAGTTGAAGCAAAGTCCAGATATTTTAGCAGGCTTGTTGTGAATGGGAGAGAGATGTGAGCTTTCCTTTTTCTTTGCCCTTTTATCATCAATTGCCAAAGGACTCTTCCTTCTTTTTTGCACATTTTCTCCTCTGGAATATATGTCCCTTTAAATTGCACGGCCAACACTTTAAATAGCACCTACTTTGAAGTCACTTTCCTGCAGCCCTGCTCTGATCTACCCAGTTGTTGTTACTGTTGTACTGGGGTTTTAAACTCTCTGTTGCTTCAACTAGCCTCTTTGCTGGCATCATTTCTGGCTCTGCCTTTGCTTGCCACAGAGCCTTCTAGCAGTGAAGGAGTAGGGCAAGGACAGTGCTGGGATTTGTAGTTTTTTTCTCTTTTTACTCATAGTTATTTTGCACTTTTGGCATTCTCTGTATTTTAAGTAGTACTGGGCTTGGTTTTCAATAGAATTGTCATAGTTATGGAGTTATTTCACACATCATTTAGAGAGAAGATTTTGGTGTGGTAATTTGCTTACTACACACCCACCTTGTTTTTAAAAATCCTCTCTATGTATTTTCAAAACAAAAAACAAATGTGAAAAAATAAAAATATAATTGATTTTTGACTTATTATTAACTTGAAATTATGAGGTTTTGATTAAATTTATAAATAGTATTAGAATGTTTACATGAGGCCAGCTTCACTATAAATTTAACTATCAGAGCTAATTCCTTAGGTAGGTTTTGCCTTGTGTTACCAGTTTGCCAGATATCTGAAATGCTTAAAAATAGAATATATTAAATGTATAAATGAAATTTAAAATATTTACAGTTATTTATTTAGGTCTTTAAATTGAACTGACAGCTTAAGGGAAATTTGGTTGGCCACTCTTGAGTAGATTAAACATTAATCAAAAGAAATATCTTTTTTAATGAGGAGATAGGATATAGTTGGTCTTGATGATTAGATCTCTCCTTGCCCAACCCTATAACTTCATTTCTAAAGCTTATAATTTCTCCCAAACATATAATGGTGTTTCATCCTCATTTACTGCAGCATTTACTGTAGACACTGGGGAATACTAAGGGATAACAAGACAAAGTTCCTAAACTCATGGACTTCTATTACAGAAGAGACAGGCAAATTAAAAAAAAGCAACCAAATAAGTAATTCCAAGTAGTGATAAAGCTATAAGGATTAAAAAACATATAAAGGATAAGGGAAGATAATGATAGAGAAGGGTGTTACTAGAAGTATAGTCAGGTAAGGCTTCTCTGAGGTAATGATATTTAATCAGAGATTTGAATGAAGTGAGGGAAAGATAACTCCACATTCCCCCCCCCCCCACCCCCCCCCCCCCCAGTCTAGGAAGGGCCTTGAAGCAGGAACAAGCTTGGTGAGTTTATGGTACAAGGAGGCCACTGTGGCCAAAAAAAGGGTAAAAATAGGTCAGAAAGACAGATGAGGGCAGATCATAGGACTTAAGGGTCACGGTACAGAATTTGGATTTTATTATAAATGTGACAGGAAGGCATCAAAGCATGCCACCCAGCCTACTTAGGCTACTTTTTTTCTTCCTTGGTTATCTGGCTAACTTCAATTTGTCTTTCAAAATCTAGCATCACCTCCTGTAGGACATAGACCTTAACTCCCTGACTCCCCAGAGAAGGTCAATCACTTCCTCCTGTGTGCTATTTCAGAGCTATAATACAGGACTACTGGTCGCCTTTCGTTCGCACTTCTGGAGGGACCTAGGCTGTTGATTTTTTCACAGAACTGTGTTTTGGTTCCCCACCCCATCTCTGCAGCCCCCGAGTGTGACACAGCAGCAGCAACAGTGCTAAGTAAAGGTTCAGTAAAGGAAAAGCCCATTCAGTGGCGCAAGCCTCGACTCCTTCCAACCACTTAGGGTGCGGTACCCAGAGGCGCGTGAGAACTGTTGCCCTAGGAGGCTACGTGCAGCGTTCCCCTGCTCTCTGCTACCCGAGGAAGGGTTGCGTTTCAAGGATATTCCACTGGCCAAGAATGCCTCTCGGGAAACCCAATGTCCCCACTGTCAGGTGCCTGCTGTCTCCCTTTTGCTCACCTTTGCGTCTTTCCTGGGGCCTGGGGTGGGACTGGGGTGGGGGGAACTTTGGGCTTCCCAGCTCTGCGTTCGAACACTCCCCGCAAACGCTCCCCGGCCTAGTCACGCACCCGGCTGCCCTCTACTTCTGAACAACGGAAGTCACCGCAGCGATGCCCCATCTTGCTTCTAGTGTACATCCCCTCATTCCGCCGTCGCCTCGCACGGCTCCCCACGCCCCTCACCTAGGATGCGGGTGATCCCCAGGGTCAGCTTCTCCAGGTGCGGCTTGCTGCAGCCCGGGGGCGGCGTATCCTCCATGGCTCGTGTCCCCGCTCCGCGCGCGGCGGGGGCAGCGGCGGGGACGGAGCGGGAGAGCGGGGCGGGTGGGAGGGCAGAATGCCGCCCCAGAGGCTCGGCCATCAATTTCACGGCATGCCGGGAGTTGTAGTGCTTGGCGCCTGAGAGCGCTGGGGGGCGGAGATGGAAGGCCCAGGCTGCTCTGGGAGTAGTAGTTCCGCGGCACACTTGTTCCCGTTGCCTCGGCGGTCGCTCCACACCACGAAGCCGAGACACAGCGACTCCTCCACCGGGACCCTACCGCCCCGCCGGGGCCGGCCGCGCAAGCGGGGGCGGGCCTCTGCGCGGTGCGGCCAATGGGGACTGGGCCTGAAGGCCGGGGCGGGGCGGCCGCGGCGCGACGCCCGGAGTGGCGGTTGTTTCAAGATGGCGGACGTGGCGAGCCCCTCCCGCCGGGGCGCGGCGGCGTTCTGGAGCCGGGACTGTATCCTTTGCCCGCCTGGCAGGGGGCGCCGGCGCCCTCCCGGGTGCGGCGACCGGCGAGCGGTCGCGTGGGACTCTGAGTGGTGGGGCGAAGCTCGATGCTGTCCCCGGGGGCGGGGCCGTCCTTTCCGGCCGCCGTGTAGGTGCCGGGCTTTCCCCTGGCTGGGGTGTTAGGTAGCAGAGAGCCTGATACTGTCACCGGGCTGGAGCACTAGGTGTGGGGAGTCAGCACTGATGTTTCCCAGCCCTCCTTGGCGGTGAGCTTTGTAAAGATGGCCTAGAATCGTGGCCCTGCAGGGGGCTGGGAGGGTCCCTCTGACCGTGGTGACCTCGGGCCGGCTGACTGCGCCTCTGCGGAGGGAATGGTGTTGGCTGGTCAGGGAGCCTTTTTGTCTTGGTTTGGGACTGTCCTTGGTCTGCGTTGTTGGGAGCAAGTCAGGCCCTTTTCTATCTTCGAAGGCCTATCAGTGATGATTTACTTTCACGCTGGGATTTTCGGAGAGGTGTGGGGCGGAACGGGGTCTGGTGATGCTGGTTACAGAATAAAAAGCGTTACAAATCATTGCTGCTGGAAGTAGTGTTGATTTACAAGCGGGTTTTGGGTCACCACTGGCAGGATTGAAGTTCTTGGGTTGTTTTGGGGGTGGAGAAGCTGTGGGGCTTTTACCGTTGTGGTGGTGTTGCCAGTTCAATAACTGTGTTGAGAAGTGTGACAGAACTGGTTCGTTCTTTGGTTTAGGTTGACTGTCCCAGCCTGATCTTTTCCTGGTAAGTTACATCACTTTCCTTAGAGGAGTGTTAGAGGAAAGGAGAGCAATCCGTGTATTGGGTGGCTACAGACCAAGTCTTTTTGTCTTTTTGCTAGGATTCCTGATAGCATTATTTGAGGCATTGCTGTTAACTTTGGCAGAATCATTCTCTGCACGTTCTACTTAGCTCCCAGTGAAACTTACTAAATTGTATTATCAGTTTTCCTTATTGAGTTACAGTACTAAGATTACAGTGTCATGTGGAGGGAGGGATATTTTTGCATTCCTTGCTGCTCAATGTTTAGTGTTAGGCACTTTCTAAACATAATTACCGTTTATCTCTGATAGGTGGGTGACAATCAAGTAAAATCATGCACATACACTGTGGATGAAAGCACACTAATGCACTGTGCACATTAAATATTTCTTTCCTTATATATCAGGAAGGAGGTAAAGAGAATATGTGCACTGGGAACTGGGCTGAATTAGAAAGTCAGGAAATTGGGATGAGTCTTCTCATAAAACCCTGTGCTTGCAGTGGTAGAATTTTGTGATAAAGGAGATATTTGAAGGTTATCAGCTTATAAAGTGCTTTGTTAGTGTAATCATTTTCATAACCACTTATGTGGTTTTAGTTATTATTCCTTAACTTTATCTATGACCAGTGGAATTGTTCTGATAGGTATAAATGGTGTGTGGGGGGGCCAGTGTATTGCTGTGGCACTGCTTAATGGGTAAATAAACTGAACCTCTGCTCTTGGTCGAAGCAGCCCTGTATGCTCACTTATTCATATGGTCATATTATTCCTTATTTCACATAGAAGTCCTACATCCTCCCTTTTCTCTTACATTCTCCCTTACTTTGAAAATTAATGTGAAATACTGATCTTCCCATTAAAAGTGAGGAGTTGAAATTATATGGGGGAAATGGTCGTGATTACATTGATAGAAATTCCAATTTGAAATGAATGGCAAAGTTACTAGTATTACCCATTTCCCCCACTTATTCCACATAATGACCAGTTATCATCCAGCCTCACATATTTTCATTTTAAATGTCCGTAGGACACAAAAGCAATGAGATGTAAATTTGCTATAAATCTTTGCTAAAAAGCATAAGGATAGTTATGAATCATTGGGTTTAATCATGTGTCTTTGGATCTGGATCTCTTTTTCTGTTACACGGATGACTTCCTAGACCACCCCATAGCCTTTATATAGAACTTTCAATAGTAAAAGACCAAAAAGTATGTATGTATAATCAGGTACTCCTTTCACACTATTGAAAGACAGATTTTCAGTGCTTTGCCTAAACAATTAGAGAAGTGTGATTGAGATATTTCCCAGTCCTAGATGTTTCTGTCATGTGAGGACAAATCATTTGTGACTAAACGTCATCTTTTTACTGTTGTCTTTATGAGTTATGCATCTCCTGCACGGTATGATTCAGCAGTGCGGTTTTGCACAAGGTATGTTTTTATACCTTATGTGTAAACAAATGAGTATGCCATGTTGTCATTTTATGGATTAAATCTGCAAGTAAAATATGCCCCTTCAGCCATAAACTGCTTTCCTCCTTCATTATAGCTCCTGGTAATATCAAAAGAAATTAGTGTTTCTGCAGTATCTATATTTGATTGGTAAATACACCCCAGTATGTTATCATTAACAGTATTTTTAACTTGATATTAACAAATATGAATTATAAGGGGCTTGGTCAAAACATTACAGTAGCTATAATCCATGCCATTGAATATTCAATTAAAAGTAGAATCTTTATGTTGATGTTAAAATAATATACTAGCCAGGAAAGTCACTGGGGTCAGTAATAATTACATATACATGTGTTGCTGGTAAGTGATTGAAACTCAAAAGGTTAGAGTGTGCAGTCCTAAGTTTATTTTCTTCAGTTCTTGGTGATCTGGAATAGATATGCTTCTTCCTCTTCGTTACTTCTACCTTGGGTTTCTAATTACTGCTTTAATTCTGGGGTTTGGAGTTTGGTACCAACATTAAGGATGCTTTATAATTTGCTGTACTTGTCTTAGTAAAGAACTTCCAAAGATACCGAAGTAGAACTGAAGTGGCACAAAGAACCCAATGAGAGGTCCAATATACATTTGGTATATATTATGTCTCTTTGACTTTCCCATAAAATGTGTTTGTATATTTTTTTAAACTTTGTATTTGAAGAAAGTAAGTATTTGGGTTCTTCAGATGATGAAATGAAGATAGATTACAAATGATTAGGAAGGATAGGTTGGATGGAGGCAATTTCAAATATTTTTAGGCTTATTTTTTAAAACTCTTGTTAAGGTCAATTTATTTAGCATTTTTATATTTGAAAAGATACTTAGCATGGATGCAGCTAATGGGTTTTGCTCCCATATTTTGAAATTTTCCTCTATCCTTCAAGGGACTTCTGACTGGTCTAAGAATTAAAATGACATGAGACAGATTAAGAGGAGAAAAATCAAACTTAATTAGGTACATATGGGGAATCCGCGTATGTGTGAGAGATTCCAAAGACAAGCAAAATTGAGTTATGCTTGTCATTCTGAACTAAGGAGAAGGGAGTAGAGGTCTAGGACTTTCAAGGAAAGGAAAGCAATTCATAGGAAGATGAAAAGGAGTAAATGTTTGGTAAGCAAATGTTTTTTGGGCCATATAGAAACAATGGGACATAGAAAGGAATTTTAACAAACAGACTTTGCTAAATTCCTCCCTACCACCTCTTATTTATATTATACTGTAGTTATTTTTGGTGATATCTATCTCTGGGAGCAGGTCCTCTATCCAAATTCTTTTAGGCAGTTAGTGGGAGGTCAAAGTTTCTTCATGAGTCTTTTGGGCCTTGATTGTTTTCAGCTCAAAACAGTTCACATTCCAAAGTGGCACATCTTGGGGTGATGGGTTCTGAACCCCAGCAAGATAAAGAGAGACAACACCAAAGAGTTGCTGGACAGTGCGTCATAGAATTAAATACCACTTTCATTCTTTCATAGATGGTTTACTGTGAGCTGGGCATTTTTTTACTTTAGGAGATAACAAACATTGAACAAAACCAGTGGAAAATCTTCACCCACTTGGTGCTTAAATTTTAGTGAGATGAGGTCATGAATAAGTAAAATAGGTTGTATGTCCAATGATTATTGGTGATATGAATGAAGAAAAAGCAGAAAAAGTGTAGCTATCATGGGGGTCTTTGTGTCTGCTTTTATGCCAGTACCATACTGTTTTGATTACTATAGCTTTGTAATATAGTTTGAAATTAGGAAGTGTGATGCTTTAACCTTATTCTTAAGATTGCCTTGGCTATTTGGGGTCTTTTGTGGTTCCATACAAATTTTAGGTTTGTTTGTTCTATTTCTGTGAAAAATTACATTGGAATTTTTTTTAAAGATTTTATTTATTTATTTATTTATTTATTTGAGAGAGAGAGAGTGCAAGCGAGAGATAGCACAGGGAGGGTGAAGGTCAGAGGGAGAAGCAGACTCCCCGCCGAGCAGGGAGCCTGACACGGGACTGATCCTGGGATTCCGGGATCTTGACCTGAGCCTAAGGCAGACGCGCAACCGACTGAGCCACCCAGATGCCCCTGCATTGGAATTCTGATAGAGTTTGCACTGAATCTGTAGATTGCTTTGATCAGTATAGACATTTAAAAAATATTAATTATTCCAATTTATAAGCATGGACTATCTTTCTATTTGTGTCTTCAGTTTCTTTCATCAGTGTCTTAAAGTTTTCAGTGTATATAGGTCTTTCACCTCCTTGTTTAAATTTATTTCTAGATATTGTATTCTTTTTTGATGCAGTAGTAAATGGGATTGTTTTCTCTCCAGTGGTATGATCTTAGCCTTTCTAAATTTCTCCTTTAAATAGTTCTTCTTGTCTTATATTTCTTCCACTTGGGTGGCTGGATGGCTCAGTTGGTTAAGCCTCAGACTCTTGATTTTGGTTCAGATCTTAATCTCAGGGTTGTGAGATCAAACCACACTTTGGGCTCCACGCTGGGCATGGAGCCTGCTTAAGAGTTTCTCTCCTCCTGCCCCTCTTAAAAAAAAAAAAAG